TAAGGTTGCCAACCAACCCTTCCGATCTATTCTAGAAATATTTATTTATTATCCGTACTTATGATAGATTACTGAATATTATAACAATAATAGGATGCTATAGAAAAAATATGATATTATTATGATAATGCTATAAATATAATATTACTAGCGATTCGCATGGATATTCAACAAAAAATTAAAAATAGTTAGTGTACCTAATTATTAAAGTGGCCTAGTTATCGATACAGGTACCGATGTTTGCTATTGTATATTGTAACATGATGAGTAATTATTATGGTATCACTGTAATAGTACGTACATGCGGTAACCTGGACTTTTTTATAGATATTGTCCTCTATTTAACTATAGTAAGCACTACATTGCGTTGCGCGTACGCTACGGAAATTAATAATAATAGATATTATTAATTTCCGTAGCGTACGCTATATAAGAAATTTTTAGCTATGTATATTTTTCATGCATTGCATTATATACTTACTGTCGAAGTTTTCATCCTGTTAGATTAGATCCCGAATTTATTAAATATTTTATATCGCCTATGTTCATTACGAAAAAGACTATTTCAAGTCGGTTTCGGAACCAATTCAATACAAATAAACAATTAAGTCTTTCTCTTTTACAATAGTAGTCTAGATAATAAGGTAAATCAGAGAGTTTGTTTTTCAATCGTCATTAAATTCCATATAGGTAAATACAATATTTATTTTCTATATCTATCTATAAAATACACCTTTAATTCTGCACTGAAATGTCCTTTTTACTCTCAGGTGTCGTAAAAAGGTTATAGTCGTATATTTATGGTATGGCAATGCTAGACTATATTAATAGATTTACTGTAACAAGTTCGTTTTATTATCTACCTACATAAGTTACATAGGTACCATTTAGTAAACAAACAACTGTACTTAATAATATACCTTCACGCCTGTTACCTATAAAGATTATCAGAGGTATAGTCATGAACACACAATACTTTAGGTGTTCTCGTTTTGCTTGGTACCTACACTTGAAACCAACGCCGTAATAGGCGAACGTATCGTTGTTTCTCGGATTAATTTGGTTTGTTATCTATATTGTTACTGCAGGATGAGTTAGAAAAATAATTGAACATACACAAACATTTTCAGTGGACCTTATTTGAAGTCACTTTCTCACAATTTTGTCTACAGGTCTAAGTAATAGCCCAAATTCTTTATTAAAAAAAACATAAAAATATCAACATATTTTCTTCCTTCAATAACGAGATAGCCTTACAAGTGATCCGAGATAGTAATAAGCGAATAAATTATTGATAAACCTCGGATAATGTTTGCAACATTATAAAAGTTGTGTGGTACTTCGCAATTCGAATAAGGGGACGTCCAAATAATATTGGACACAAATTAATATCAAAGTGCCAAAACTGCACATTTACTTCAAATATAAGACGACCGTGTAAATAGTAGACCTTATGTAACACAAAATAAAAAAAAAACATCAAATGCTGTGTGAACGAACACAAGTGACTTTAACGAGGCAGGACTCCAAAGGGAATTTAGTGCCTGCATGACTATTGTTACGGCGAATAGCTTTGCTAAAGACCAATTTGTTTATTTTTGGCGAATCCTTAATGCTGTAGCAGTTTAACACACAGTGTTATATTTTATAATATAAAAACACCGTTGTTTTATTATTGTAGCAAGTAAACTCAGCTGCATGAGAGTGGCTATTCATTCAGAGGGCTTAACCCAACTGTAATTTTTGATCAAAACAATAGATTTTTTTTTATTAACAAAGGAGCCGCCTCACATTATTAGATATGGAGAATGATAGTACATCTATATATAGTAGTATGTCTATAAAGACAGATCAGATAGCGGAGAATTCACTAGGAACTACGATGGTTTAGGAGTGAGACTGCTTTATGTTCAATCTGACATGGCACCATTATACTAACAATGAGACATTCCGTGTTACTAATAATTTTTTCCTCATCAAAACTTTCTTTTTTATATTCAGGTAGATATAGTATGTAGAGATTTCAATGTGAATTTAGTGATATACTGCATGTCGGGTCAGAGAGTGCAGCGAAGTGTGCGGATGTGGGCATACGATTCCGGCGGCTGCTTCCTTTGCTGCTTCCTGTCGGCCGAGAACTTCCGCTGTGTAAATACATTTGCCACTAACACTACTTTAGTGTCCAAACTAAGTTAAATATAAATTTGTAATTTATATTGCGTCCTTACTCAATATAGTAAAAGCACTTAGGGAGCATACAGATGTAATAACGTTTTAATAATTGTCACCTTGTTTTGTATTGTATTGTTAACACTACCAATTAATCACCGTGAATATTATATCATAATACGAGGGTCAAACTGAAAGTTCTTAGAAAATCAAAAACTGATTAAATTAGCAAGTTATTACCTTTATTTTATCTTTTCAAAGTAGTGTCCATTCACGTCAATACATCGCTGCATCCGATAGAACCACAGAGAAAAACACTTTGCCCACTCGTCCTTAGGGGTCTCTTTGACGGCCTTCTAAAACGTAGCCACCGAATCCTCGGCGTCCATAAAACGTTTTCCTCGAACTTTTTCTTTCATTTTTCGGAATAAATAAAAATCGCAAGGTACGAGGTCGGAGCTATAAGGCGAATGACCCAGTGGTTCTACGTCTGAGGTCGCCAAATAATCGATCATTTGCCTGGCGGTGTGCGACGAAGCATTGTCGTGGTGAAGGAGGATCCTACTGCGAGGTCGTTTCTCATGCAATTTTTTCAAAACACGTGGCAAACAATTGTTACTGTACCACTCTGCAGTAACTGTTTTTCGATCCTCTAAAACAATTGCCGCGTAATGACGTGTTCTTCCAAAGAACGAGGCCACCATCTTTTTTCCTATGCTTCGACCTCCCTTCACTTTAGTTGGCAACTCCTCAGAAGGAAACACCCACTGAGCTGACTGTCTTTAATTTCGGGATCATAACAGTAAATCCAGCTTTCGTCTCCCTAACTATGTTAAACACAGAATTTGAGTCACCTCCGTTAAATCTTTCATGCATTTCACGGCACCATTCAACCCGACGGAGTTTTTGAGCCTCAGTGAAATTATAAGGTATCCACCGGGCACAAGGCTTCCTGACCGCCAAATGTTCATGGAGGATTTTGTGCACTTGACTCATACCAATCGTTAAGCTTGCCCGGATCTGCTAATAGGTCACTCTTTTGTCAGTCTCTATCATACGCCGCACAACACGGATGTTATCTTCAGTTGTCGCCGTAGAAGGCCGTCCCTCACGCAAATCATCGGTGAGATTAGTGCGACCACGTTTAAACTCATTAAACCAGTTGTAAACAGTGGCACGAGACGGGGCTTCATCGTGGAAGTCCAATAGTAGTCTATCATAACTTTCTTGTTGACTTAGATGACATCGAAAGTCATAAAAAATCATCACAGGAAAATTTTCTCGTGTTAAGTTCATGATAACGTTACACAGACTATTTTCAATTTGCCGCCAAACCGTAAAACACATAACATACGAATAAATTATATACTCAGTACTGTTCGTAAAGAGTTCCATTTTCAAAATTTTAACAATTTTTTTTATTATATTGCTCTCAAGTAGCCAGTTCTAAAAACTTTCAGTGTAGCCCTCGTAGTATCAGGTTTAGGCAAGAAAGGTTTACTAAACTGAAATTTATTTATGAAATACACCCAATTTAAACAATAGAATATTTTATCTAATTTTTATTACCTCACTAGAAAATTTGACCTTTATTTACGAATCGATAAATTTAATATGGATAGTTCGTATTTTTTTTTTATAATTCGACTCTGTTTCTTGGTGAAATTGACTTGGCTTTACTCCTAAACCTGTATAATATTCTTTCCCGTGTATTTTCACTTCTGAATTGAAGATAATAAGTCTTATATTATTACTTACTAAATATAAATAACAATTACTCAGGACAATTCACATAGCGCCATCTACAAGCTAAACAGAGCTTGCATTAGGGTGCTAGAACAATGGTCAAATACTTAAATAACTTTTTTTGTAAATACTTACATAATATACATAAAAACACCTAGGTCAATCATATTCATGAGTAAGTACAAAAAGTTTGTAGCATAAGAGGAATCGTACTCGCGACCGTTTTTTCTGGAAACCATTTTAGGCAAGGGAAAGGGCAAAGATAACGGAAATTATTATTTTCGCAGGTGTCTATTAAACTGTAAAGTAGGTACACCATCAAATACTATGCATCTTCCATCTAAAATACAGTACCTCCGCCATTCCTAAGGACTACTGTATGCCTATATGCACTACTAATAATATAGACTATACCTACCTTTTAAACTAGAACTTTCTGTTTGATGGTAGTAATAAGGCATACAAAAGTACCTATGCAGACAACTCCATACAGAGAATATACTATATTGTAGTGGATTATTTGCTCAACTGCGGTTTCCCTTTAATGAACCAAGTTTATGGTAACTGAAGTAAGTACTTAGTATCCCAGCATGTCTGTCTGTAGGTATTAAATTTATTATAATGGCCTTATATATTTCTGAGACACATAATATTAATGATATACAAGTGTATTCGATGTTCACATGCTAACATTATTCTATTCAATGTTAACTACACCTAATAGCTGTGCTATTCAGTGTATACTTATGTTGTTTTTGTTTTAAATAATCTGGAAACATTTCAAATTATTCAAAACAGTAAGCAAGTACTTCTTTGACTTCATTATCGATCTAAGTTTACTGAAAAGTAATAACAAATAAAAAAAATATATATATATTGTTTCGTATAATATTTTTTCTTCGATAATATCTATTTTTATTCCACATATCTACGGCCAAATATTAGTTATTACCTAATTGTATTTGTACCATGTAGATAATGTTTGTACAAATGGTTCTGTATGGTGACTCATTAAAACAACTGCTAATAATCTACTTTCATGTTCTTCAGAGCGTGTGCTTTATTAACAATAAAACTTTCATGTACACCAGTTCATTGGTAGTTTGTCGATATGGCGATTTTACGTGTAGCTGTTGTGTTAATTGTATTTCTATATAATTGGACCAATGCTGAAAGTAAGTCACACAATATACGGATATTGCTGCTTTTATTACATAATAACAAAATTTCTGTAGTGAGAGTAGTTTGATATTGGCACAGATAAGAGAATATTCCATAATATTAGATACTTAGTTTTATATATATTTTTTATTATTTACTTATTTCTATAAATAAGAGTTATTAAATACAATTTCCTTTTTTATTCCAACAAATTCTCTATTTTCTCATCAAACATATGATTTTTCCTAGTCCATTTTGTAATAATTATAGCAATAATTAGGTACTTATAGAAATTATCGTAATTTATTTTTATTCCTATTAGACGTATTTTAATATATATATTACGCATTTATAAGGAGTGTTGCTACGTTGTGATCAAATCCGACAATTCGTGGATGGCCACAATTTACGACGACAACGTATTGCCATGGGGACTGTACCGGGTCAGCCGCCAGCGTCTAACATGGGATATATGGAAAGTACATTATAAATCGAGGTAAACTCTATACAAAGTCACCTGCATGGGTGACCTCAGTCTAAATTATTTCTGCCCCTAAGCCAATTGCTTTGTGAAACGCGTTTCGGGTGATAGGTGATATACGGCAGTGAAATCACGAAGTATATAGGATTGATACCTTAGTCCTTTAGAATTAACAAGATTTAGTACCGTAAGCGTTATAATATCTGTGATGCTGTTCATGTGTACAATCAGTTTACCACTCACCATCAGGTTGACCATCAGCATTTTTACCATTTACCTAAACTTTCACAACATTTTCCTTAATAACGTAATTTATTTAGGTAATAATTAAATTTTATTTACTACAAAATTCTACCAAAGACCAAATATTCAGAACTCTAAAATGACAAATTGACGTCAGACAAAGAGACAGAATTTAGTTTTACAGCGACGTTTCTTACTGTACTACGTTCGTTACCGCGTTACATTGTAATGATAGACAATTTAAACATTTCAGGTTTGGGATGAAGAACTCGCACAAAAAGCAGCTGGATGGGCTGATAATGGAAAATTCTCGCACAATCCAAATAGAACCATAGGTAATTTTACTATACACGATTTGCATATCTATTAAGGTCAGGTAAAATATTTAATAAAATACATGTAGTTTCAAAATGATAAAAAATATTCACTTTTAATGAAAGTTACGTCTTACAAATAGTACGGAACCCTCGGATTTCATAGTATTTGCAAGTTAATTTAAATAAATCCTCTTAAAAGTAACAAGAAACATGGTTTTCATTCTTCTTATTATTTTTTCTGTTTCTATTATATTTTTCTTCTTACTGTTTATTAAAAATTAATATTATGTCTTTAATAAATGTATATTGTAATATTTTTGTTACTAAACAGTCATAATGTTCAATAAAAAAGAAAGCGGCGGTGACAGACATGCGTCAATGACATAGAGTTCTACCCTATAAGCACAATATGTTAACAAGGTTCAAACCTTTTAATTTTTTAAGAACATACTGACAACTAAACTTGAATATTATTAGTAGACTTGCATTGTCAATCCTTTTTAAATTACTTAAATATTATACGTACCGTATTTCTAAGTAACACATTACTTTTCTAGATTTATTCCGTAGGTATATTAACAAGCCTAGCCTTCAATACGGTATAATGTATTGAATTGAGCCACCTATCGATTTAAAGCAAAATACATCTTATATTTACTTAAACTCAGTGGTTTTCATGTTTGTATATAAAAATATAATAAAGATTTACATACCTATTACATTTCAATAATCTCTATTCAGATACTTCGTTTAAATATCCAAAAATAAACGCTTTGAAACGTCTGGGATCGTTTTTCTAAAAGAAATATTTGTACCTAACTGAATTTGTTTATTCGAATAAATGAGATTTTATTTGATATCATTCTTTCGAACCTTGCATACATTTGTATCTACTTAGTTATCAATATTCTTGCATAATATCCTGACTATATATCTTATTGGATTGAAATTCAGGTAAAATAAATATAACATAAATACTCATCTATTTTAAAAATTTGATGTGCAAACTTATACTTCTCAATTTATGTAGATAGTAGTCCAGAACGTTCTAATTCAAATGAACTCTGAGTGAGACTTCATGATACTGTTACTGTATGGAACGTGTTTCCATAACACTCTACCTGCAGTTACTATGAATTTTGTAACATCTCATATGAATATAAAACTGCTAAAATATATATATACCTTTTTTAATAGTTTTAAGTGAATCTTATGTGAATACTGCTTTTCTTTTTTTTCTAAATTGTAATAATAATAGATGACCTCGGTGGTTTAGCACTCTGTCTTACTACCGAAGGTCGCGAGTTCATTTCCTCACACAGAACAAACATTCGTGTTTATGAGTATAACTGTTTGTACTGGATAGACAGATAGAAATTGATTTTATTTGCATTGTGCAAACATAATATAATTATTTATATGAATTGTCTATTACCCATGACACAAGCATTGTTTAGCTAACTTAGCTGTGGCGCTATTTTAACTGTCGTGTGATACGCATATCTCTGAAAAAACTTGACAATGAAAAGTGCTCTTTTCTTATCATGATATTTATTACAGCTATTACGCTATTTATTTCCTAAACACATTATTTTTAAGGTTCTAATAGGTGGAGTTTGGTTGGTGAAAACATTTATATGTCAAAATTATACTCTAGTATAAACAGCACAGTTACACCAAATATTGAACAAGCCCTGGAAGCGTGGTTTAACGAGTATAAAAATTACGTATTTACCCCATATTCTACAACTACTGTAAAACCCGTTGGACATTATACCCAGGTAAGATAATTTTATGTTTTCGGTTCGGATTCGGATTTCAGTACATTTATATATAAGTGTGATCGTAGCACTAACATTTATAGTTATGTATCTGAATTTAAAGAATACACACTCATACTACAAAATTACATAATTGTTTTAATAATAATAAGATTATGATTATTATTGGTTTATTGACATCAACTAAACAATTTAAATATTTACTATATTAGTTATTTAATACTAGCTTTACATAAGTATGTAGGTAAATATGTAGTTTACTCATTTGTTACCAAGATACTAATAATATTGCTGAATGGGGTGGACTTTAATGATCTGACAATAACTGTTATAAGTTAGTACAACTTATAGAATAGAAATGATTTATTATTTAAGACTAAAAATTAATTACAATTAACAATTCAGAGTCTGTTTAAAAAAAAATTGTCCTACTATACTACACTTATCTGATTCTTGATACCCTATAATACACCTTTAAATACTTATATACAGGTAGTAATCAGCTGTATAATTAATCAGACAATGTTTCATAATATTGATACACAATAACACAAAACTTTTAGTGTACCTTGCATAATAATTTTCAGCCTAACTTTAGATATAAGTGTCAATAAAGTTTCTCTAACTTATAATATTATTATTTAGAGTAGGAAGCTGGCACATCTGTGTTTTGTTTTCTTACAAACTCTCCAAGTTCAGTCCGTATCTATAGATATAGATCGTATACAAGTATATATCTGATATATACTGCTGTATAGTTTCCTCTATACAGCAGTATATATCAGAAGTTCATGAATTACAGATGGCGTGGGCGGACTCTACTCATTTAGGTTGCGGTATCTCGCAAAGGAAAGAAAATGCCTGGACAGTAACATTATTTGTTTGTGACTATGGACCTACGTAAGTAGATTCTATACAGATACAATGTACAGTACATTATTTTATAGAATAGTTACTAGCGACTTCATGTGCTTTTTTTAGATAAAAGATAACCAGTGTCCTCGTGATACGATATATTTTCACATATATTTTGCATTTATAACATTAGTATAGATATCAATATCAATATATTAATAATCCATAATAACCAATATTTTCCACAGTTTTAATATATTTAAATATATTCAAAGACTTAAAAGATCATGAATCCATGGATATACTTAAATATACCATAGGTACATATTAGAAAAGGTCATTACAAATAAAACATATGTACCTAATTATACAAAAAATAATTGAGTGACAATTATTAATCTGTGCAAGTGTTTTGTATGTTACATTTGATTTCGAAATTATGTTTAAGATTAATTAGAACTAACTGTTAGCCGGTACTTCGTCTACTTTTTTGACAAAAAAGATACGCCTACGTCTGGCCTCTGTTCAGCCAAATGGATATAAGAATTGTGAATATACTTATTAAGTTATTTTTGTTCCAGTGGAAACTTTATAGGAAAAGTACCATATATAAGTGCCAACGTACGGGGATATCTTCGCTGCCAGAAAGGAGAATGCAGTAAACCGTACGGTTCCTGTTGAAATTTTATTGTAGAATTGTACTAGTAAAATATCTATGTGAACAAAATGAAATACATTCTAATATTTTGCTACGGAACGTCGTCCAATTTGTATCTATCTGATTGACTTCTTATACATACTTCTTACGTTCTTATTTATATCTGTAATTATTCCTATCTACCTGATGCGCTACATATACTTACAATATGTACTTAATATTGCTATCTACTATATTTTTAATGAATAATAATGGAATGGTACACCATTTTGCGATAACGGTTTATACTGGCGAGACACCAGTGGAGAATCATTCTCCACATAACTTGAGTATGAGATCAGGTCAATTAGCTCATCGACAAATATACTAGGATTTTATCAAGATGGTTTCCAGAGGGCACCGCGCTGAGGTCAACCTGACATGGTACATTGCTAGTAATGGTGTTATCAGTTCACATAACTAACAAATTCCTTTCCCCCGGTATAATAAATACACTACTTGTAAAATGATCGTTACTGCGTTTGAGTTAAGTTAAGGGTTAATGGTTTGTATGGGAAAAACCATTAACGTTTAACGTTTAATGTTAAATTATATATATATATATATTATTAATATAATTATATAATTATATTTATATATTACCATTAAACGTTACAAGAAAACACAATAAAATTGATTCAGTGATTCAAATATTAAAAAAACAGACAGACAGAATTACTTTTGTTTCTATAATATTTGTATGAATAGTAAAATTATGGTATTCACTATCTAAAATTAATTTCAAATACAAACTAAGTTTTTTGGGGTTTTATGTGTCTCTGTATATTATTCCTACTTGAGTTTAGTCATGTCCAACAGTTAATGGGATTACATTAAGTCTGCAAAACTTACCGCAACATTTCATAGTCGGAAGGATGGCAAGGGTTTCATTGGATTGCGGTGACACGAGTCAAGCAAAATTGAGTCAGATCATCTCCATGCATGACTCGTTTGTATAATAGAGACGTCGTGATCCCTAGCTTAAATTGCCGCAAACATTTTGTGAACACTTAAATAGTATGAAATTTAGTAATTATCTCATATAGAGTAATTTTAAGATTATGGAAATCGACACGTTTCCCGGTTATCTATAAAATCTTGTATATACTACTTGTATAAATATTTAAATTCTAATCCAAATCGTGGATTAAGGATACCTTTGAATTTGCCGAAGAAATATCATTTAATAATGCAGGTGAACATTCTTTTTATCGTTCAGGTGAAAATATTTCAAAGAATATCATGGTAATCGAAATTCAAAGATTAGGTAAGAACCTAACAGAAATTTCACGGGCCGTTGGGCTCAACTTTTTCGTTGAAACGAATTCCCATTATGAATTAATAGGAATTCGTTTCGATGAATAAAAGTCTACATCGGCCTTCAATAAGAATTTATAATATTTATTTAAAAATTAAGTTAAAATTATTACCAGACTCTACGAAATTCTCTACATCACAATCAAAATGAGTCTTCCAGTTCATTCTATTATTATTATACTTATCTATTTACACTTGGCGTTTATTAATTCTTATGTAACAATATATATATATATATATAACTTTTATTTATATACTTGTATGCGTACAAAAATATTACATAATTACTAGATATCTTTTTCATTCTGACTGAGAAGTTTTTGTAAGATATAAATGAACGCCTACAAATTAAATGTAGGCAAAATTGGCTTTATTATGTATTTGGTCAAAAATTTAACAAAAAAAGGGTTCATGCCGCAGTATGTAAATGAAGACTAAAGTCAATTTTTGTAACTGTCTCTTAGGATAGTAAATATAACAAAAAATATTAGCATAATAATAATAATTTCTATTATATTCTATTCTAAATTAATAAGCAGTGAAAGTACATGGAACATATCTATCTTTCTTGTCTTCTGTAATTTCTGTTGTGTTAAAAAGTGGATGATACTGTAAGAATTAAAAAATAAAATTATATGCAAATTAAACGTTTATAAACTGAATATTCAGGTACGATGCTAACGAACTGGGGAAAAGACAAAAGAAAACAGGATTAACCCTTTTGACCCCCTGCTTATTCGTGTAATGACAGCCCCATATTGGTGTAGTTGTTTCTGAAAATTGTATTTGTTTTGGGTGTGAGAGTTAAGACAACATGCTTATGGTGAAATTAATTAAATCGCATCAAAATATTGCTATAATTTAGAAATACTTTATAATATATACATTCCGGAAAACAGCAATTAAATTTATTAAATTTTAGTTTTTTATTAAATTCTTAGTAAGATGTTTCTGTAAATTACATGTAAGTAAAAAATTTTACCGGTAATACGAATTTCTTTTCTGAAGTAAAAATTGAAAGGAATCTATTGAAATATTTCTAAAACATTGTGTTATTGGGTGCCTTTAAATGGATCCCAAAACTTTTCGTTGCTGCTTTATAACGTGATTGATCAATACAGGGTGATTATTGCCAACAGATTGGCGCTCAAACTTGATAGATTACAAAAATTTCTTTAAACGATATTTTTAACATATTAATTTTATCTTTCAATGCATTGTAATATATGTCAATAATAGATATGAAGCTACCTGAGAATAAAAAAAGGCATTACTCTGCAATATTCAATAATAAAATTATATTCTCCTAAAAAAATAACACTTATCATATTACAATATTTTAAAGAGTTCACTAGTTTTATAGTAACTATAAATTAATTACATAATGTATAATTAATTAATTACATAATAATTTTATGTTAAATATTTAAATAGGTACATAACACTTAGGTACTTTATTTTAAAAACTTTTATAACATCATAATACAGTGATCGCTGTAGTATGAGCATGCAAAATATGAGTGACAGCACAGATAAGACTGGATAATACTGGCAAGTGTGTTAAGATCTTATTCCTGAAACCATACATCCAATATATAGACATATGTATAAAATCTACAAATTTTGTAATGCGATCTATAGGTCATCTTCTACAGCTTAAGAACCCTTACTGCATATAAGTATTTGCATTACTATGTGTAGATAGATACATACTGATTGTTGCTGTAGTAAAAGATATTTAAATGAGAAATATAATCCACAGGAATAGGTGATAAATTGTTATCTTAATATAAGCCCATGGTAGTTATTAGTTCCACTTCTAGAAATGTTTATGTTACATAATGTTATATTGCAAACTTTATTATATAAGCAATATTGCGACCACGTTTGTTTGGACATAGAAACGCGAGCGAGACAGACTTAAATCTCAAGCAATAACATAGATCTGGAAGGTTCTGTTCTAAAATGTAGACTTATATCTCACATAAGTAATCTATTGAATGTAACTATTTAAGTAGTGAATACAGTAGGTAATTTTATTGTTTTTAAAACAAATCGGTATTTTATGCTAGTGGAAAGCGTTTTAAAAATTTTACGTTTGAATATGTAAATTGGTTCTCGTTTCAGCGCGATGACGCGATGTTCCAACGATAAATTAAATTCTGGGAAAATACTGAAAAAAAGAGATAGCTCGACTGGCAGGTGGCCGGGGGCATAGAGCGTCAGCATTTCATAGTCGCATACAAATAAAAAACTACCTAGCTAAAACTGCACAAACAAGATACAGATAACACTATACAGAATACACAAGATACTCGTACTTTGTTTTATAATTTGGTAAAAGCAAGTCATATATACGATACATCTTCCAGCTAAACTTCTTGAGTATTATATATGTTTTAGCTTCAAAATACATACCGATGACTGTGCACTTATCCTTGTACACAAACAAACAATGTCACTCAGCAAGCAACACAGATATAGACGCATATAGAAATGCGCGAAGGGCAAAGCTACTATATTCTGAAAAGCGGAAAGTATAAAAATATTATCACCTAAATAAATTTTCAGAGAGCAACGATCGAAAACCAGTTTAACAAAATGGCAGTCTCACAAATACATACATTATTTTTTTATAAATACTTGTGTGACCGCAATAACACACAGAACAAGTTTATCAGCATATACTTAGTTAATATATAGTATCCATTTGTAAACACATTTGATTTCTTCTTTTTCTTGATTTAATATTCTGAGCGAAAAAGATAAAACACATAAACCCTCAAGCCATTCCTTTCTTTCTTGATACTTCTTTCAACGCTGTAGTTCTAATGTTAAAGTACTAATGTTACTGATAATGACATTTGAAAAAGATTTAGATACCTAGTCTTATCATAAACGAAAATCTTTTAAGTATTTTATTTTTCTTTAATGGACTCCGGAAATAAGACTATCTAATTTCGGTGCCTTATAAAAAATTTTCAATTATATTTTTTGATGTAATGGAATGGCCGATAAAAAGTAATAATCATCGCCTATTAACAAGATCAGCATTATAATTATCGGTATGCATAATTCTTTGGTGTAATTTTTCTAAGATTTAATTTTATGCCTCGTTCCCTGTGATTTCACTACTGTACTGTTCAGAACACAATTTATAAAGTAAGCTGCTTAGAGGTAGATTTTGGTGAGACAGACGTGCCCAAGTAGGTGACTTTCTACAAAGTCCCTTTGGTGAACCTATTTATTATTCAACGTGAGTATTCATGAAAATCTCTCAACTATGTTTATGAAAATCGTATTTTGATATAGATGTTTCTTACCTGTCAGATTTTATAGTTGTCAGCTGAGATTTCTTAGATATTTATGATAATGATAATGTCAATCTATCTGTGCATATTTGTTGAGATTAGATATCATGAGGTTAAACTATTTATTTCATAGTCATCTATCAATTTTAAAGTAATTCTTTTTTGTCGAAATATGCAAGATTTCACAATCATTCAATATCCACTGCTGAAAAGGTAGCTCTTAGTTATTTTTGCAATATCCTTACATAGAATAATTTATTAAATTATACATTGCAGGTACGATCACTTGAAAAAATGCGGAATTTTGATACGACGGAAATAAAAATACAATTATGCAAAAGCGAGAAAATTTGAAT